TTTGGGGTTTGGGGTTTAGGGCTTCATCCGGGTTCTAAGGGTGATGTAAGGCCCCGGTAATCCGTGAAGTACATGTCTGACGTGGGTTCTATTTGGGTTTGGGTATGGGTGGTCTTTGGGGGTGCGAGCAGGGGCTGCGGGCAGAACATGGCAGAGACTCGGAGACTCTTAAATTCTGGTGGTGTTCCTCAACCATGGCAGAGAAAGAAGCTTTGCATGTCTGGGGTTAAGGGTTCAGGTTTAGGGCTTAGGGAATTAGGGTTTAGGGGTTTAGGGTTTAGGGCTTAGGGGTTAAATTTTACGAAGGTTTAAGGAAATTGGAATCTCTGGGACACTCAATAGCGGGTGACACTGCTGTCAACCACGGAACCAGCGGCGGAGGGGGCGATGCCATACAGCTTCTTGAGCTTCTCGCGATAGCCTTTGCAGGCTTCAGGGTTTATGGTGTAAGGAGCTGACTCGGGATTGGTGTATGGGGGCATGGATACCGAAAAGATATGCCCGCGGCGCCCTACCATCTGGAACCCTATGCCCAGAATCCCTAGACCCTAAACCACCCTAAACCCTAAACCCTAAACCACCCTAAACCCTAAACCACCCTAAACCCTAAACCCTAAACCACCCTAAACCCTAAACCCTTCAGAGCCCAGCCCTCGCTCCCCACAGGCGCGACACCCTTTCCTACACCCTACACCCTGAACCCTAAACTTTAGGGTTTAGGGTTTAGGGCGGTTTATTGTTTATGGTTTAGGGTTTAGGGGAAGATTTAGGGCTTACACCTGCGCAAGCGTTGCCTTCGAATTCCGAGTTCGAAACCAAAAGACCAGTAGGCTCCCCAAAGCCCCAAGCCACAGGGGTCTTGTAGGGTGTAATACAGCGGCTTTAATAAATAGAATAAGGTTTTGGGGCCCATATTATGCTATAAGTATAATAAAGGAACCCCCAAAATAGTCTTGGTGATTATTTAGGCCCTTACATTATAGGGTTTGCACGACCTGCAGGTCCAAACCTGGGCCCCGACACCTTTCGGAAGCTTGTGCCGGCTCGCAGCTTAGGCTTCGGGGTTTTTGTTCGGGCTTTGGGCTTCAGACCCTTCTAGCGTTTAGGGCTTCGAGGGTTTCAGTGTTTGGGGTTGGGGCTCCGAAGGTTCGAACATTTTGGAAGGTCCAGGACCTACAGTGCCAGCACCACTTCCACAACTTCAAGCAAAACCCCAAACCCTAAAACCCTAAACCCTAAAACCCTAAAACCCTAAACCGTGTCGGAGATCAGTGAGCCCGTTTGCAGAACCCCAGCACCGAAAGCCTCAGAGCACCCCAAAAAGCCTGACTTAACGGATCACGGGACTTGGCAACTCTGGTTGTTAAGATAAGGCACCTATAGCTATACTTACTTATAACCCGGATTAAGGTACTTATAGCCTTACTTGCATACTCCCCTGATCTGAACCCTAAACCCTAAACCCTAAAGCCAGAAAACCTTGCGCATTTCGAGCGGCGTGGGTCATTCTCCGCCTTCTCCCGCCGCCGCGGCGTGAGGCAATAAGAATCCTGTTCGGTGTCTTTTAGTGCTTTTGGCTTAAGGTTTCGAGTTTAGGGCTTAGGGTCTAAAAGGAATCTGTTGATGGTGAAGCTTTCGGCTACATGTTTGCACCTCTTTTGTATCAAGTCTGATGACTGAGCCAAGACTGAAGTGTGTGATGCCTTCGCGAAGTCTTAGCATGTAAAGCTGAACAGTCATACATGTGTGAGAACCAGAAGTTCCCACTCGCCAATCTTTACATGTCGGTAGATCAGAGCCTCACTTGTACAACTCCAGAGGCAGAAGCTATCGAACAGGCTTTGTGAGTGAAAATTCGTGGTTTGCGTCCGTGTGCCATGGCCCTTTGAACCCTGAACTTCGCTACTTAAGACCACAGCATGATCCCTAGTGATCAACAGGGTATGAGCCCAACCCGTACTGCTACGCTGGACGGGGAAGTAAGTGGCCCTAACTATGACACGGCGCAACCTCCTCCTGGCCTAACTCGAGATGATGCTGTCCAGGGGAGCGAGAGGATGATGAATGGTGCAGGACCCGAGCCGCCGGTTTCTATGACGACGGTGGCAGAGGACGGGATCTTGCCCCAACCTTCGGGGTCTGCACCTGTTAGTGGTGTTTCAGATTTTCTGAGCGCTCCTTCATCGGCTGTGGACAAAGACCGTGCTTGGGAAGCACAGCTTCCTCTAGAGGCACCTGCCAGTTCGGGACAGAGTGTGAACGCGTTTTCTGCAGCGACCCAAAGGGTCGAGGTTGGCGGCTTCGAGTTTTCTCCACCTGAGGATTTTCCGGAAGCAAGAAGTACGGAGGCGAACAATCAGACTTTCTGGTTTGCAAAGATTGGGGAGTTTGTTCAGCGAAGGGTGGCCCAGGCTGGAGCTGCCATGACTCCTATTTTGGAGTCAGGTCATCGACGACCGATGTTGAGGCAAGTTCTTACACCGCCTCCCCGCGCGCAGAGACTGTACACACCAGAGGCCGAGCAGACTATGTCTCAATGGACGAGGAGAGCACCACACCTCTACACGCCGGAGCAGCGCACGCCACAACAGGAGGGCTCGTCGAACGGGTCTCTCACTCAGGAGCAAGTTCTGGCTGAGGTGCAGAAGCAGGTGAAGTTTGAAATGCGTGTACATGAAGAAGAACGCCAGTTGCTGGCTCAGGAGAACCGGCAGTTGAAGGACATGCTGGAGAGGGTTCTCAATGAGGTTCAAGCTCGCGGGCTGGAAAGTGCTGGACGGACTGATGTGGGTGGAATTCCGCAAGGACCCCAGGGAAGCGGTCATCTCGGTGGCGGCGGAGGCAATCCTGGCGGACTACCCCAGCCTCCTGAAGTTATCGGTGGTTATCCTCCAGTACCGAACCCTGCCCCTGATGCCCATGAACGTGAAAGTGGAGCTCGAGGGTGTTCGCTTGGTATTCGCCAAGGCCTCGGAGTATCTGGCGGTGATCCACTTGGTGTACGTGCGGGGCATGAAGGTACAACCACCGGCCACGCAGACATCGGAAGCAGTGGAGCCAATCTCCCCAATGAGCCAGGCGTGACGAGTGGACCTCGGCAACAGCAGACAACGGCTACCATGCCAAATGGGCTTCCCGGAGTACCGCCTGGAAATCCACTACAGGATCCTCTAGGAGTCTTGATGCAAGGCATGACGCAGCTGCAAACGGCAATGTCTCAGACGTTGTCCCTTAAGTCAAAGGACATTGAGGTTGTGAAGCCTGGCTTGACCGAGTTGCCCCGACTGCAGGACCTCAGCAAGAACTCCGCCATCGACTTTGGCGACTGGTTGCATGGGCTGCAGAACCACATGGGTGACCTCAGTAACTCAAGCAGCCAATGGTGGAACGAGGTTTTAGCTTGTCTGTCGAGGTTTTATTCTGCTTACCTGGATGCCTCACATGTTGGCAAGTTGGTGCTGAAGGCTGAGGACTACGAAACTTCTGTTTTGCGTGAAGAACGATGGACCCGAGTTGATAAGCGGGCCTCTGCTATGATCTTGGCCAGCCTGCCGGAGAACGTGAGGGCGGAGCTCCTTTCAAGCCGTGTGGTTGGAACCTTGGCTACGCTATGCAGGGTGGTGATTCTTTACAGACCAGGTTCTGTTGCAGAGCGCCAACAAATTCTTCGGGCGCTAGAGTCACCGAACACAGCAGCAACGGCCGCCGATGCTGTGCAGGAGCTCCGGCGGTGGGCCCGCTGGGTCGCTCGTGCGACGGATATCGGGATTCAATGCCCGGACCCAAGCGTGATGATCAAGGGCCTTGACCTGATCGTGAAGAAGATTTTGGGTGACCATGCAGACATCAGTTTCAGGGTGTCTATGCTGAGGTATACTTTGGAAGTGGACACACGCCCGACACTTCAAGGGGCGAAGAGTCTGCAGCAGGCACTCCTTTCTGAGTTGGAGCAGGTGGCCTACAGTGGACGACAAGGTGGAACGGCAGCTCCTGCGGTGAAGGCCATTGCGACAGGAGCCCCTCCTTCTACAGCTGGGAAGCCTGATGGTGCTGGTGGTGGTGAATCGGGAAGCCCGACTCGGCAGCCCAAGGCAAAGGCCAAGACGCCTTGCAAGTTTTATCTTTCGGACAAAGGGTGCAGCCGTGGAGCTTCGTGTACCTACTCCCACGATTTCACGAGAAAGGAGCGGATGGGCCGGTGTTGGACGTGTGGATCTACGCAGCATCGTCAGGCAGACTGCCCGACGAAGAGCTAAGACCACCCCGGCAGTGAAGGCGGTGATGGACGCTCCTACTACGTCTTCGGCTTGCACAGGACCGGCGTCTACGACCTCTTCCTCGTCGGCCACGGGTGACGTTCCAGCTCCAACTGTGCCGGAGGCCGAAATCAAGAGCCTGTTGCAGGAAGCCAGCGCGATGCTCAAGGAGATCCGGCAGCTCAAGACAATGTCGTTGACGATCACCCAGGTTCAGAACCGAGCGGTGGGTGTGGGTTGCAGCCCGAGCACGGGCCGTACAGGACTCCTGGAGAGCGGAGCGAGCCATCCCTTTAGAGAGGCTACCGAGGACGAACTCCAAGATGCCACCCAAGTTACAGTCCAGTTAGCTGGAGGGCGTGAAGCGGTCCTGGCACAAGGCAAGAGCGGCACCTTACTTACCAGGAAGACCAAGGACGACTGTTCATCGCCGATTGTTCCGTTGGGAGCGTTGGTACAGGAGTTAGGGTGTCAGGTGACATGGTCCCGGCGCGGGGGACTTGTGATACGGCACCCCGATCACGGGGTTATTCGCCCGAAGATGATAGGACGATGTCCGGTCGTCGCCGAGTCCCAGGCACTTGAGTTGATACACGAGATTGAGTGCCGGAAGCTGCAATCGTTGGAGAATGCGACAAGGGCAACGGCGAAGGCGTTGTGGATGTGGGACGTCAAAAAGAAGTGGGCGCAACACCTCAGCGACTTTGTTGGCACTGGTGGACGTGTTTCCCAACTCGCGGCTATGTCATCGGAGGGATCGCCTTTTATCCAGTGGACAGACTTGGAGAAGTCCCTTATTGCCGAGAACGTTGAGCTCACAGACAAAGCAGGGTGGAGTTACATGCGGGCTATACCGGGCTCACGCCAGAACAGAAAGAGGATGTTGACCATGGGTGATCCACCTCTACTCCGGCACCGGGAAAGGCCTCGACCCTGCGTTCTTGGAGCTTGATGATGGCAAGGTGTTGGTTCAAGTGGATATCAACCGCAGCAAGGCCGAGGACATGAACATGGTTTCCGGTGTTTATCGTGCTTTGTTGTGGGCTGCGGCTACTGGAAGGGTTAGTGGGATCTTTGGGAGCCCGCCGACCAAGCCTGAGCTCTTACAGAAGATGATGTGGCTGGCTGTGGTGTCAAAGGCCGCTAGGGCAGTTTATGGAGGTCAGCCTGTGTTTGTGATGGTTGAGGGTCAGTCGGTGTTGAAGTTGGCAAAGTGTGGGGGCCTGGATCGTTGGACTTCGGTGTTTTCTACGCGGGAGGCTTTCCTGGAGGCTGCCTGTCTTGAAGAGGTGGAGGACAACCTGGTGACGAATATGAAGATGAGGGAACCCCTACCGAAGGCTACCGATGGCAGCTTGGCTTGGACCTACGATTTCAAGCGAGCTGTTGTGGAGGCTATCCAGAAATGGGAACGTGAGCAAGAGGCTTTGCAAGTGGTTAAGTGGATGAAGAAACTGGATGTGGACCGGGAGAAGTTTTTGGAGGGCTTCACGGACAAGGAGTTGGAGATGTGGCGCACTCATGTTCGCAACAATCATGTACCTTACCATCGACGATGCGGTACCTGCGTGAGGTCTTCAGCTACCGGAAGAGCGCATCGGTGCTTATTGCTTGAGCCTTGATGTCGCTGGGCCGTTTTGGGTCAAGGCAAAGGATCCGAACCACAAGGACTATCGCTACCTGTTGGTTGGTGCTTACGTACTACCCCGACAACCTTCTGAACCACGACCAGAGTCGCATGAGCCACCGGGTGAACCTTCTGAACTATACGACCAGAGTCGCATGAGCCACCGGGTGAACCTTCTGAACTACGACCAGAGTCGCATGAGCCGCCTAGAGAACCTTCTGAACTACGACCAGAGTTGCACGATGTACCAGAGCTCTGTGATGAAGACAAGGATGATGATGGTACAGGTGTTGGGATTGTCGCATTCGACGACGGTGACACAGTTGATGATGGTCCTGACCCTATGGAGGAAGTTTCTGAGAGGCGTGGTTCTTGTATTCGAGATGATGATTGTGACGTTCGAAGGGGTCTTTCGCAGGAGGAGTTTGAGAGAATCTATAACGAGGTTGGTGTGGAGCTTGTCTATGACACCATCTACGTAGTACGACCTTTGAGGACGAGAACGGCAGTGGAAGTTACGGCTGCTGCGCAAGAGCTCTTCCTGAAGTTAAGAGCTGAAGGCCTACATGTGAGTCGTGTTCATGCAGATAGGGCTCGAGAGCTCCGTGTGGAGCCGCTGCGACGATGGCTTCTGGAAAAGGGGGTCTTTGGTAACCTACACTGAGGGCCAGGCGCCTCAGGCGAACGGCCGAGCTGAGGCCGCAGTGAAATGGACCAAGGCAGCTGTGAAGAGGTTGCTAGCATCGTCCGGACTTGGCAAGGAGAACTGGGCGATGGCTGCGGGATACGCTGCTCAATGTCAACTTGAAAGAGTCCTGAAGCAATCAACGTCTACGTTGCCTTTTGGGACGAAGGTGCATGTGCGATCCAAGGTGTATGGGACCGGGGGACGCTATGACTTGGACTCCAGATGGAAGGCAGGATGCTATGTGGGCCCGAGTCTAGATGTTCGTGGGGGCCATGTGGTGTTGCTGGAGAATGGTGCTTACATGACCTCAACTCACCTTCGGCCGTATTTGGTGGAGCCTGATAAGGTTGTTGAGTTGGACGAGTACGAGCTCTTGCTTCCTATGCCCACGAGGCGCCTCAGAACAAAGGCAGGGGCCAGGGATTTGGATCCTGCAACAGTGCCGGGTGAGCTTTCTTTGAAGTACGACCCCGAGCATCCAGCTGAGCAGTACGCTATGAGGCTGCTGAGTGAGGAAGTGCTAACTCCAGACCAATGTGAAATTCTGGCGTTGATGTTACCCTCTACAACAGCAGTTCCCAGCCGATTTGGACCGCAGAATGCTTCTCAAAAGGTCTGGAGCGTTGGAGCCTTTGTTCATGGAGGTGTTGCTGGAGTGAAAACTGCGACGGCTGCTTTCCCGGCGAGTACCAGGGTGTTTGTGAAGTATGTGAAGCAACTGCAACCCGATCACCAGTTCAATGCTATCGCGGTTACAACAGATGTGGGTGCACAACAACATGTGGATGCACACAATGTTGGGATGAACTTGATTGCGGGCCTGTCGTACTTCAAGGGTGGCGCGTTGGAGGTTGAAGAGCCAGAGGGGAAGAGGCTTTTGCCTTTGGATGGAGATCACACCCACCAGCTTTTTGACCCTCGCTTAAAGCACTCAACGAAGTCCTGGTATGGAGGATCCAGGGTTGTGTTGATAGCCTACTCTGTCCGGGACAGTGGCAAGCTCTTGCAGAACAAGGCCGATTACCTGAAGGATTTTGGCTTCACGTGGACCCCTCACTTGTCAAGACCTCGTGGTGAGGAGGAGGGTGCGAGACTGAGCGTTCTACGTGTGGGCTTGTTGGAAGTAGCACAAGAGCGTGATGTCCCAGAACAACCTCGAGATTCTCCAGAACAAGAGGGCACAGGTGGGGGCGTTTTAGATGATCAGGAGCCAGATATTCGTGCAGATCCGGATCGTGAGCTTAGTCATGATGGCGTTGATGCTCCGGGGTCCTTGTCCTACTTGACAGAGGATATCGAGCTTGTGATAGGGGACCTTGAGGATATTCGTGATCTGCTTGAGGAGGAGGAGATCATGTGTGAAGAGTATCGTCGAACGAGTCAAGCAACACGTGGGGTGCTCACAGACGCCCGGGATCAGATTTGTGCTTTCTTGGAGGGTGTCCATGAGGAGCTTGTTGAGCTTGAGCGTAAGCGATCTACTACGTGTTTGAAGGCAGCGAAGATATCTACGACAAGTGCTTCGTCTGATCAGATTGACTACGAGGAGATGTTGAGCAGCATGGAGGGTGACCTCAAGATTGTTCATACGGTCCCGGTCGGGGCAGGTGAAGCGCAACCTTTCAAGGTGGGTCGATGCTATTCGCAAAGAAGTGAACGCTTTGATCGAGTCAGGGACCCTGAGGCGCATCAGCCTTGCAGAAGCCAAGCAGTTGGAGAAGGACTCCAGGGTGACGTTCGCGCCTGCCAAGTGCGTGTTCACGCTCAAACCGCCGCTGGAGGCGGGCAAGCGAGCCCGTAGGAAGTGTCGGGTCGTGATGTGTGGGAATCACGTCCGTGATAACCTGGAATTCGGCGACCTATACGCGTCAGGAACCTCCTCTGACGCGCTACGAGTGTCGCTAGTTATAGCGGCCTTGAGATGCTGGCTTGGAGCGGTTAGCGACATTACTGGAGCTTTTCTGTTGGCCAATTGGCCTCCGGACCTCCCCAAGTACGGCATCTACCCGCCTAGAGTTGTGAAGGACTCCGGTGTGACGGAAGCAGAAGCATGGATTGTGGAACGTCCATTGTATGGTTTGAGGGAATCCCCGAGGATTTGGAGTTTGTATCGCAATGAAAGATTGAGGCGTGCGAGAATCAGGGTGGGTGAGATGATCGTCATTCTACGACCTACAGTTGCAGAACCGGAGCTGTGGATGATTTTATGTGAGGTCACGGGTACTATGCATGGACTTATTGTCCTCTACGTCGACGACATCGCCTATTTCTCGACGAAGGAAATTATTGTGGCTATCCATGACTTCATCACACAGGAATGGCCAGCATCACCCTTGGAGTGGATCTCAGGCGATGATCCGGTGAGGTACCTTGGTGTTGAAATCCGGAAAGAACCTCGCACAACGGAGGATGGGCGGGCCTCATGGGTCTACACCATCGGACAAGGGGCCTACGTGCAAGACTTGTTGAGGGAGCACAATATGATGGAGGTACAGCCTACAAGTTTGCCGGCACCGAAGGAGTGGATTGATGAGGCGGAATCCTGTGACGATGTCGAGGGCGACTACGAGGAGACTACGCTGAAGTTGGCTCAGAAGCACGTTGGAGAGTGCCTGTGGCTAGCTACGAAGACGCGTCCTGACATAATGTTTGTCACGACGCATGCAGCCAGTTTGGTTTCCAAAAGACCGTCCTATGTTATTCGTTTGAGCAAAAGGGTTCTGGCTTATCTGGCTGGGACGGTGGATCTACGAATGACAATGGGTCCCGTCAAAGAGGAGGATGCTATGGAGTTGGTGGTTACGCGCCGTATGGCCGACGGTCGTTTGGTGCAGCAGTCATCACCCTAGCTGGCGCACCGGTTGCTTGGAAGTCGGGCCGTCAGAGTTTCATAACATTGAGTGTTATGGAAGCTGAATTGTATGCTGCGACCCAGGGGTGTACGCTGCTCAAGTCGGTGCAAGCTTTGGTGACTGAGCTTTTTCCTACAGCTTTGACTTGTGTTTTGGCGGTGGACAACACCTCGGCAGCAGCAATGCTGGCGGGAGGATCGGGTTCTCAGAGGACTCGCCACTTGAAGATCAGGGCAAACTATGTTCGAGAAGAGGTTGAGCAGGGACGTCTTATTGTGCGTCATACGCCTGGGTCGATGCAGCTGGCAGACCTGTCTACAAAGATGCAGTCAAAACTACTACTACACCAGTTGCTGCAGCTTTGGGGTTTTGTTGGTTTTGCGACGAATGTGTTGCAGGAGATGAAGCTCAAGATCCTTGCAGCTTTGATGGTGTTGGCTCAATGCATATGTCCTGCTCGTGCCCAAGCAAATGAACTCAAGGAGCCTTTGCCAACAACAACTTGGGACGAGGCGGTGGTGATGATGGTTGTGGTTGCGATCGTTGCAGTGTTGGTGTGGGAAGCTCTTCGTTTTGTCTACAGGAGAATCCTTCGTTGTCGAAGACGGAGGCTCAAGGCGAAGAGGCTGGAGCAGGTGTCCCAGTTCGCGTCAGCCGCTGCAAGGAGAGAGATTGCAACTACAACAACGGATCGGGAAGCTACGAGATCGGTGAGGAGGAGGACTACAACCCGGACGAGAAGCCGCTCCTCCACTCCCATAGCTCCTATGACTCCACCTACAACAAGGGTTTCCACCCCTCCGAGAACGATGAGCGCTACGAGTACCCCGAGCATTCCTCGAGGTCAAGACCTACAGCAAGGTTTGCAGGAGCAGTCATCAAGCAGGCTGGAAGAAGACGTCGAACGCCTACGTGTGTGCAAGGACACTTTACAGCTGATGACGTGCGAAGATTTGAGATCCGCTTTGAGGCTGGAAGGGATGCCGGTGTCAGGTGTTAAGAGCGACCTGGCGGAGAGGCTTGTGCACAAATTGGCGGCTTCAGATGTTACCAGCAAGCAGTTTCGCTACGTGCTTTACTTGTGGCGATTGAAGTCCTTGAACTTCAAATGCAAGCTACAGTGGGAGGATATCAACAGCAAGTGCCGGATTTCAATGTGGATCTCCACATGGAAGGGTGCATGAATGGAGTGAGTAATGCTCCTAAATTAGTCAATGATTGACTGCTGGCGTAGAACGCTGGAACGGTGCAACATGTCCATGTACTCCAACGCCGTGGGCCCGGAGTAAGGAGGAGTGTTGATGGTGAAGCTTTCGGCTACATGTTTGCACCTCTTTTGTATCAAGTCTGATGACTGAGCCAAGACTGAAGTGTGTGATGCCTTCGCGAAGTCTTAGCATGTAAAGCTGAACAGTCATACATGTGTGAGAATCAGAAGTTCCCACTCGCCAATCTTTACATGTCGGTAGATCAGAGCCTCACTTGTACAACTCCAGAGGCAGAAACTATCGAACAGGCTTTGTGAGTGAAAATTCGTGGTTTGCGTCCGTGTGCCATGGCCCTTTGAACCCTGAACTTCGCTACTTAAGACCACAGCATGATCCCTAGTGATCAACAGAATCCTGTTCGGTGTCTTTTGGTGTTTTGGGTTTAGGGTTTCGAGTTTAGGGCTTATAGGGTCCAAAAGCCGAAATGATTAGACTGGGGTTTCGGGGGCCTAAACGCTCATGATATTACTAGTCGTGCAATCTTTTGTATGATGCTTACATACGATTTTCACTGAAAACAAAAGGTCTAGGATTCGATGGTTTGAGGTTTAGGGCTTGCCGTCGAGTGGCGCATAAGCGGAAATATCCTGCGACCTCTAAACTCATTGCATGGCTTCTTCCGTTTCTTCAAGCTTAGAGGCAGAGGCAGGGGCAGAGGGCAGAGGGCAGAGGTTAGGAAAGGGCAGGGAGGGCAGGGCAGGGCACGGCAGGTCAGGGCAAGGCATAGAAAGGCAGGCAAGCGCAGGGCAGAGGTAGGGGCAGGGTAGGGGGTAGCGCCGCCTACCCACGGAGGTGGGTGGCCTAAGCCTTGTGTTTAGGGCTCAGGGCTTAAGGCCTAGAGTTTAGGAGTCAGGTTTCGGGATCTGCGTTAAGCCCTGCAAGTTGTGCTCGTTCCAAGCTTCGCCCTCCCGGCCCGAGCCCCTTAAGCCCGACCCTTAGAGTAGCGTTATAGTATCCTTACAGAACTCTTCTTGCCCTAAACCCCAAACCCCAAACAAACCCTAAACCCCTATTGAACCCCTAAACCCCTAAAGTCTTAATCCCCTAATTCCTCAAACCCTCCCAAACCCTAAACCTCCGCCCTCCCTCGGGCCAGCAACACGCGATCCGATGCAGACAGCTCCGACGAGGCCCGGCTTGGCCCTGCCTGGGGCGCCCGAAGGGTTTTAGGGTTTTAGGGGTTTTGGGGGTTTTGGGGTTTAGGGGTTTTGGGGGTTGTGGGGGTTTAGGGGTTTGGGGTTTAGGGGTTTTCGGGATTTTGGGGGGTGTTTTATTGTTTTGGGGGTTTTGGGGGTTTTGGGGTTTAGGGGAGGGTTTTCGGGTTTAGGGTTTTAGGGGGGATGTAGGCCTCCCCGGCCACTGAAAGAGACCTTGTCTACCAGGTCTCTACATTGTCTACGTTTCGCTGGAAAGTCAAGTGTGGCCCAGCACCTCCAAGACCCAACCGCCAACGCCTGAAGCTCCTTGATGTGGCGATCGGGGTACCGAATCTCGAAATATGCTCGACCGACTGGGGCAAAAACAAAATGGGTGTCCGACTTCTCAGGAAGGGCCTGAGCCCCACGCTCACTGAACCCTCAACCCTGTAACTGAAGGTTCATGGATCACTGGTAGTAAAAGGCATCCTGAAACCCGAGACGACGGCACCCAGAAGCCGATGCGCGACGACCCTAACAGCTACAGCCTAAAACCCCCTAAACCCTTGCTGTCGTGACAGTGTTGGGCCTTCGTGTCCAACTTGCCCTTCGAGGCCTGACGTTGTCATGTGAGGGCGGGGGTAACTAGAATGTTCTAGTAGTTTTCTAACGGCACTAAGCATATAATTACCCCCGAAACAGTATTCTAACCATTGATGCGCCCATGTTAGGCTTTGGAGGTCGGAGTTCAGGCTGGGTCTAAGACTCTTGGAATGCTCTGGGGGTTTGAGGCTTGAGGGCGGTCTCCAAGGCCCAGAAAGCCCGAAAGGGCTTAGGGTTTAGGGTACTTGCACGTCCAATATCGGAGCCTGAGTGGTTAGAAATTAGATACCGTACCCATGGTAACCGAAAACCCCTATTCTGAACAGTGTCCCTGCGTTTCGTGGCAAAACGGGACCACAACCAACCTCTGAACCTTGAACCCCCGTCCCTCTGAAACCCTAAACCACAAAATGGGTAGTTCTCTAAATTAGGGTCCCCAATCTAGTACGGCACCCTTATAAAAAGGACGCCGAATCCCTAATTAAGAAAACTACCCAAACACAACATCAAGTTTGCTAAATCCTGCAAGGACCTGCATGCTCGTGTAGCTCCACCGGCACCAAAGTTGCACGTGAACCCCTACGGCCCTAAACCGAAAGTGGAGATACTGAGCCTCGATTCTACACACCCGGACCCCAGAGACTCTTCTAACTCTGTAAAACCTTGACCCACCGTAGAGCCCCTTGTAGGGTCCTTTTAGGGAAGCCTTTATTCTATTTATGAAAGGCACCGAAAATGGTCTTTTACAGAAAACCTATAGCCGACCTCCTGGATCCACTCGTGGCAGCGCAGGGTGACTCGGTCGATGAAGAGCAAGTGGTTTTCGAGCCTTTTGGCTCTTGAGAGGATATCACAGGTTGCTAACACGATTTTACAGCAGAGGGGTTTAAAAGGCTTTCGGGCTTTCAAATTGAGACTGAAGGGGCTGTTGACTATGTTAGCGTCTACGTTGAACCTGCCTGCTTGAATAAGCAGAGGGGCTTCGGGCTAAGGCCTCCCCGACGACTGCAAGAATCTTTCGTCAGTATATCGACCTGCATATCTCTATATATATATATATATACATATATATATATATACATATGGACATGCATGCATGCATGCATGCATGCATGCATGCATGCATGCATGCATGCATGCATGCATGCTACATACGCAGACAGAGACACATTTTCAGCCGTTTTCGCTGCAGGGGAATCGAAATGAGTCGAAAAACGTCTGAACAATGGCTCCGTGGTGCTGCATGCGGCACAGGTTGGGTTTCGGACCCTTGGCAGTTAAACATTTCAATCCTAGACCAAATTCTGCATCCCGAACATGGAGCTAAGGGTTTAGGGTTGACGGTTTCGGGGTTTAAGCTAGTATTACGAATTCTTGGGGCTCCAAGACGAACGGACATGTAATCTCGGATCCTTAAACCTCGCCAATGATACTGTAAAAAGAATCGGAACCCTGCGGAATAGTGTTACTAAATATCGAAACTACCCCAAACCCTAAATCCCAAACCCTACACCCTAGCCAGCTGCGGACGAAGTGCTCCTCGTCCATCTCTAAGAGCTCCTTATCACTATCAGTCATTAGGGTTTGGGGTTTCGGGCTTTGGTTGGACACTTGAAACAAGAAGCCCTTGATTCGGTGAACAACATGTAACTCTGCTCCGAAAAGTCGAAAGAATTTGCGAAGGGAAAGGCTACGCTCATAACCTGCAGACCCAAACCTGTGACAAGCAACCTCAATCACAAAGTCAAAACCCACGCGCTTCAACTAACCACACTGACCATCAAGAGTCACCCTGGCCATCAAGAACTTTTAACTCTATAAACTTTCCGTAGTGTTGGGGAGGCGATCTTGCAAGAGTGCCAGCTTTGTCTGCCCGGCATTTTTCCAGGACCCTAGGCCCAGCACCCTGAATCCGGAGCTCTACACCCTAAACCTGGAAACCCTAAACCCTAAGCTTTCTGTACACGTTGAACCAGCCCGAACCCCAATGCTAGACCAGGATTTTGGGCTTTGGGTCTGGAGAAGAACAGTCAACCTGAGGGTTCAGGCCGGTTAGGGTTTGGGGGGCTTCAGGACCAGGGGATAGGGCTTGAAGTTTAGTGCGGTCGCTATACCTGACACAAAACATCCCTTAGCCGAAAAACCTTCCCAACCACCACAAACTGCCACCATAGAAACTCCAGAAGCTAAAGCCCTAGACCCTGCACGGCTGGCTGCTTTTTAACTCCAACTCCATGTGTGGCATCATGGGCAACACGATATGTCCCATCAGTCCCATCCTTTTTCTTAATCACGCCCAGCGAAGCAAAAGGCAATTTCTCGCCCTTTATTGATCTGGCGCAGCTCTTCTCCTGAAGATTAGACTCTTCCACTCTCAACTCTCTCTGCGAAGGTTGCTGCCCTAGACCATACAACTTAAGCCGAACCCCAAACAGATTCGGGCTTAGTCCATGGGCCCTCCCCATTATTTCGGGATCGACTCTGCAGGCATGGAACTCGTCCGTATTGCAGGCGCTCCTGCGCAGAAACGAGACTTCTGAAGGGTTCGACAAGGAAGGGCTTTGTAAGGTTTCTCGGGCGGAATAAGGGTTTCAAAAGATTTTAGCAAGGCTTTGGAAGGGTTTCCAGCAGAGTTCTATCAGGGTTAGAGTAAGGTTTGGTTGTCATGGGGTCTCAAGTTTCAAGGTCCCAGGAAGCCCCATCTGCACCACAATCGAAACATGCATGTATATGTCTATATGTATAACTAAAACATATGTGTGTGTGTACATATGTATATGCATGCATGCATGCATATATATATACATATAGATAGATAGATAGATAGATAGATAGATACATATAGATAGATATACATACATGCATACATGCATGCATGCATGCATGCATGCATGCATACATAGCTACATANNCCCCCCCCCCCCCCCCCCCCGCAATATTACAGGTTCCGGTTCAGGTATATCCCTAAGCCGCCTACGCAAGGGGCCTTTAAAGGTTCGGAGAAACTCGAATCCTTACGATCGCCCTTATTGAAGGAGCATTTAGGGTTTAGGGAGCATTGCTTCTTGATCAAAGGCCGTTTTCATGCTTCATGGATCCCGTAAAGGCTTGCACACCCCCCCAAGTCTGAATAGAGAGCCTTGGGGAACTTGGGTGCGGGGCTTAGGGGTTTAGGGC